AAGGGTGCCCACTTTCACCACTACTTTTTATTCTAACGCTAGAAAATCTACTTAGAAGAATTAGACTCAACAAAAATATAAAAGGACTTAAGGTTAAAGGAGAAGAATACAAGGTTCAAGCGTTTGCTGACGACCTTGTATTCTTCATAGAAGACCCATTAGAAACAGAACTAAAATTAACAGAAGAAATAGAGAAATTTGGTAAGGTGGCAGGTTTAAAAGTGAATAAGGATAAGACTAAAATATTAACTAAAAATTTAACAGCAAAACAATTAGAAGAATTAGAAAAACAATCAGGATTACAAGTAGTCAAGAGGGTAAAATATTTAGGTATTAATCTGACAACTAGGAATGTGGGTATAAAGATAATAATTATGGGGAGTTAGTACAACAAATTAAAAATGATTTAGAAAGATGGGGGAAACTAAACTTATCATTGCTAGGAAGAATTGGGGCGATTAAGATGAATATACTCCCGAGACTCCTCTACTTATTTCAAACTATTCCAGTTAAATTAGAGAAAAACTTTTTTACAAATTTGAACAAAATAACATCAAAATTCGTATGGGAGGGAAAAAAACAAGAATAAATTTAAATATATTACAGGATGATAAATCTAGAGGGGGTTTTGGCCTACCAGTTTGGGAAAAATATTATAAGGCAGCGAGTTTAACATGGATTAAGGAGTGGGTCAATTTGGAGAATTACAGACTATTAAAATTGGAAGGCCACAGTTTCTTAAAGGGGTGGCATGCCTTTTTGTGGAATGCCAGGAACAAAACCTATAAACATTTTAAAGACCACATAATAAGAAATTCACTGATTGGCATTTGGTTCGAAATTAAAAACAAACATTATATGAAGGTTCCCGGCTGGATATCTGCATTGGAGGCGGCAACACACCCCAACACATTAGCCCCCCATAAATTAATAAGATATAAAGAATTACTGGATCCCCAAGGAAGATTAAAAACACGGCAGGAACTCAGGGAAGAAGGCATAGAAATGGATTGGTGGCCCTACCTACAAATACAAACTAGATACAATAAAGACAATGAGGAAGGAGGAATCGAAATAAATCCCAACCGACTAGACAAACTATTAGGAGCCAAAGATGGAAATTCGATTTCAAAGATTTATAAATACTTATTAGAGTTTGACCTAGCAGAAAATCTAGTCAAAGGACAAATGATAGCTTGGGTAAGGAATATTGGCAAAAATATACAATTGGAAGAATAGGAAAGGGTATGGGAAACCAACTATAGAATAACAAAATCTGTAGCATATAAGGAGAACCACTACAAGATGTGGTACAGATGGTATCTAGCCCCTGCGAAATTGGCAAGGATGTATGCAAACCTTAATCCAACGTGCTGGAAATGCAAGCAAGCACAGGGAACCTTCTTCCATGTCTGGTGGCTTTGCCCAAAAATTAAGAAATTGGATAAAAATAAAAATTTGGATATCAGAAATAATTGCGGAGGATATTGAGTTAGAACCAGAATTCTTTTTGTTAGGAATGATTAAACAAAACATTAGAAAGGAAAAAAAGTACCTAATATTACATGTAATTACGGCAGCTAGGTTAGCCCTAGCAAAAGTTTGGAAAACAGATCAATTGCCATTGGAGCAGCAAATAATTCAAAAAATTTACACATGTGCAGAAATGGATAGACTAACGTTGAAATTGAAAGATAAGGAAGACTCAAAGTATTTTAAGATATGGGACAGTTGGTATGAGTGGATAAACCAATGGAAAAGAAAGTAAAGTCAAAATTTAGTATGGAATTAAAAGTAATAATTATACACCGTCATTAAGGGAAAAAAAGGGAGAATTAGGTTTGTATATATGTGTACTTATATACATTATATATACTTTGTTGTTTGTTGATATTGTTGATTGTATTTTAAGGTTGTGAATGTTTTATACAATTTTATTCTTTTTTAAATTTAATAGAGTTTGTTTTTAAAACTTAAAAAGAAATACTTTTAAAACATATATAAACAGGGAAACGGAAAAGCAAAGTACCAACTGTTAGCATCAATTTTACTTACAAGACTCCCACCCAAGAAAACAGGCAGAAGATTGGTGGTGGGTGTTTCAAAGGAGAATTTAGGGAATGAGCTCAGGGATCTCCTTGGGGGGTGGGGAGATGGGATGTCTCTGAGCAATTCCACTCTCCATATTCCAAATTTGCTTAACAGCCCTAAACTTTACTGGCTGCCACAAGTGCCACCTTGTCCCTTGTCTTTTTGTCTTAAGTCGTGAACCTTTTAAGGGCCCCACATTGAGAGGACTGACATCTGAGGAGTGGCAAAACAACAGTGTGTGTGTATCTGGTAATTTTCATGAGAGACCAAAAGATCCACTTATTCTCCTAAGCCCTTGCTGTTACACTGTAGCAAAAATAGAAATACCCAAATAAAAAAATAGCAGAAAAGAAAGTAATTCCTAGCCTTCAATGAATTGCATCAACAAAAGCAAATTTAGTGTCCCCCACATCAATGAGTAATTGCAGTCCCTGACATTAAGCCAATCTCTGTTTTAAATCATTGTTTGAGTACCAAGACCAGTATCACGGCCAGATTCCACAACCTCTGTGATTATTGACCGGAAGCAAAAGTCCTGGAGCTTGATTTCCCCACATTGGTGGTAGTTATTTCAAAGGAAGATTTAGGGAACAAATTAAGGGGCCTCCTGGGGGGGAAGCCTGCAATGGGCTACACAAGCCCACTCCCCATCACCTGGGTTTGGATATCGTCCCCCGTCACAATGTTGCCAACTGCTCTCAAAGCTGGGGAAGCCACCTTGTAATCGCTGTGCCTGCGTGCAGAAAAAGACAACAACACACTCAACGTTCCTTAAGTTTAGTCTTTCTTATTCATCAATAATGGATTCCATCAGAGACATCCCAGCGAAGTCTATTTGTGCAAAACCAGGATGCAAGCCAGGAAACCCCATCGAGGCCAGTGGGAGAATCAAGGAAGACCCTCAATATTATTCAGCTGTAATCCACCACGTGCTCCTCCGGGCTGCTGGCTGAGGTGGCTCAGCAACATCTGGAAGATCATAGGCCAGTGGTGGGATTCAGCCAGTTCGCACCACTTCGGGAGAACCGGTTATTAACTTTCTGACCAGTTTGGCAAACTGGTTGTTGGAAGAAATCATTAGGGCAGAGAACCGGTTGTTAAATTACCTGAATCCCACCACTGTCATAGGCCATGCACCTGGCTTATATGGCCAGGGCATATTACACCAGCCCCTGCTTTCGTTAAAATTTTCAGGCCAGGCCAAGGTCTGGAGCACCACAGTCAAGGTTCCCATGTCAAATAATAGCTCTAAACTACAGATTCTCTGGAATTCAGGTAGTCCTTGACAGAAAATCATAATGGAGATTGCCATTACGACCAATGGTTCGCTATGGATATGTTCTGCCAAAAGATTTTCAGCAAAACCATCATAAAATGCAGTCATATGGGACATGCAAATGCCATATATGCAGCCATGTTGCCGAATGCCCAGAGTCTGGACATATAACCAGGCCGGGGCCCTGTCTGTCAGAATCGACTCACAGGACTGGAGGGCACCTTGAGGGTCTTCTAGTCCAACCCCCTGCCCAAGATAGGAGACTTTATACCATCCTGGACAAGCCTCTCTTGAAAACCTTCAGAAATGGAACACTTTGAACCAGCGGTGGGTTTCAAAATTTTTTACTACAGGTTCTGTGGGTGTGGCTTGGTGGGTGTGACATGACTTGGTGGGCGTGGCTTGGTGGGCATGGCAGGGGAAGGTTACTGCAACATCCCCATTTCCTCCCAATCAGCTGGGACTTGGGAGGCAGAGAATAGATGGGGGTGGGGCCAGTCAGAATTTTTACTACCGGTTCTCCAGAACAGGTCAGAACCTGCTAAAACCCACCTCTGCTTTGAACCCAGGTTGTAAGTCCCCTTTCTGGGGTCAGCTGTAACTTGAACGGTTGCTAAGCAACCAGTCATAAGTCAAAGACTACTTATAAAAAGCTGGACCTGCACATACCAGATCTTTGCTACCTTAAAGCAGCTTCCCCATCCTGCTTCTGTGTGCTGGGATTCCTACAGTCACACCTACTTGGAACACACTAGACTCAGGATGGGTTAAGCTGGGACTTTAAGTGCATCCCCTCCAGCTCACATCTTCCCTCAAGCTCTCCCAAATGCACCTCAGTTCACTCAGCCCCCTTCCTATTTATTCCACTGGAGATGGGAGTGTAGGAGGACAGTAGGGACACCCACACTGTTCTATCACAATGACAGATTGCAGCAATCCTTTGCACTCCATGTGCGTTCTCACCATCCTCTCCCCACCTAGGAAGTGGCTGAACCCTCTGCTGACGCTACCCCACAGTTTAAAAGAAAGGAAACCGCCTCAGTATCATTTTTTGAAAATCCTCTTTTGAAAATTGGATCGACTTCAGCTACACCCCCAATTAATGTGTCAGAAAATATTCAAGTGTAATTCTTGTGAAATTGATTTAACTTGAAGGCACATGACCTACTGACAACTTTGTAAGGCAGTCCAGGCAACAAGCACACCCTGATGTGCTAACAGGGTTTAAGGTTTTATTCACAGAAACATGCAAGTCTGAAGTCCGTCTCTCCCCCTTTGGCTTTCCAGTCCAAAAACTAGGAGGACCCTCCCAAGACATTTCCCAGGCCCCTCTCCTTCCGTGAGGGCACAGCTGCCTCTTAGCCCAGTGCTGCCTTTTCTGCAGCTTTTCCTCTTGCCTCCCGAGGTCATTCCCACACAGACTCTTCATATCTGACTTCACAAAATGAACACAGCCAGAGTAGTTTGCAAACCATTATTTGTGGCATATGTGAATCTAACCAATTACTCAATAAGCTATAGCTAAGTGAACCATAATTTAGCACTTTTACACTTACATTAGCAATTCCACCAGTCGCCGGCACACTCCTGAATCTATGACCGCCTGGATTTTCTCATTGGGTCCATCCGACAGATAGGAAAGTGCCCAGCAGGCATCTGCAAGCAAGTCCGAGTCACTGCTGAAGAGCAAGCGAGACAAGACCGGCAAACAGGATGACACCTGCCCAAAAACACAATTGCAAGAGATCGTGAGAACACCGGACCAAGAGGTCAAGAGGAAGTTACAGGCATTTCAGCAGTTCTCCACAGAGTTTTAGGTGTGTAAGATCAAATTTCTTATTTCATGCTCAATTCAGAAATACAGCTTGTATATTCAAATCAATGTCTCATGCTATAATCACACTGAACACTTATTTTAGAGCTGGTAAATCAGCCCTCTATCCATAGATGCAGTTGTTTATTTATTTCATTTAGCATATGGCATATCATACATGGACTAGCATTTTATATTAACATTTCACCTTCGCTACTGGTTTGGAACCAGGAGCACATGCACTTGCTTCGCTCGCTCATGGCGCTTCTCTCTTCTTCTTCTCATCTGCACATGTATAAAGCGTCCATGATGACGTCCGGGTGGGTGGGCGGAGTCTCCCGCCGCTGCTACTACCAGTTCGCCCGAACCAGGGCGAACCAGTAGAAACCCACCACTGCCACAGTCCCACTGAGTGGAGGCTGCCAGGCCCCATTGATACAGAGTCCCTGGCAGACGCCGTGCAAGGTGCAATTCCTATTCAAGATTGTCCATTGCTGATGTAGTTCAAAGCCTGGCACCTTTTTTGTGGGGTCAGCGATATGTCTTTCTTTGCCTGGGCATTCAGAGGCCCATTTGGCTTTCCACTGGGAATCGATGTTAAAGTTGTTGGGCAGATGTTGTGCAAGGGCTAGTAGGGGCTTCCTGAATTTGAGTCTTCTGCTGATAAATGAGGAAGGTTGGCATGCATTAGTAGGAGTGAGTTGTTCATAGTTTTTCTGTATTCTCTCAGTTGTGCATTGAGCCTTCGTAAAGCTGGCATTGCTATGCGGCTCAGAACAGGAAGCCAAGTTGGAGTGGTTTTAATACATCCACTTATAACCCTCATGATGTCGTTGAGTCTGGCGTGTGCTGATGACCCGAGGGTGGCAGCTGAAGCTCCCCATTTAGTTTCACATCGCTTTTGGAGCATGTTGTTTCTAGCATTGATTTTTACCGCTGTATTCTCTAGGGGTATCTTATAGAAGACAGCCTGATCCAATGTTACCCGAAGATAGTTTGGATGGGGATTACAGGGGAGTAAATTGTTGTTTAAGTAGACCTTGAGGGTTTCATATGCTAGATACAGCTGTAACTCTGGCTTAGAGTTATTACTCACACCAATTGTCTTGTCTGTTGGAGAATAAAATACTAAACTTTGTAAGATGCTCGGCCTGCAGTCAGCACTATCAGGACTTGAGTTACAATGAGCACATGGCAGAAGGCATACTTTTTACTATTTTCACAGGTACTACACTTCGGGTGCTTTTAAACACAAGAAGGAGAGTTAAGTGATAGGAGCAAGATGTGAGTTTTAATCCTGAGCCTAAATAAAGTAGTGTTTCTCAATTGTGCTGGCTGGGGAATTCTAGGAGTTGAAATCCACACATCTTCCAGTTGCCACGGTTGAGAAGGTCTGTGACACACAAGAGATGCCTGTGGCTGGGAAAATAAAGTAATACACATTTGGATCTTACCTTCTCAAACTCTGGGGGTGGGTTCTTCCCTCTGCAGAGATTCGACAAAGCCCAGACCGCATTTCGTGTCATTGTCAACCTAGTAGATTTTGTGAGGAGCCTGAAATATAACCAAATGATTCTTAAGTCCACATTACGGCCTTTGGCCTTAAACCAAGCTATTTAAGAGCTTGGCAACTGTATCCTATAAACAGTCCTAGCAGCTAGATGGTTCAGGGAAAATAAGAAAATCAGTTGTGGTTCTAGGACAAGTTTGCCCCACTCAGCACTTGCAGCCTAAGGAAATGAAGGAGCCACAAAGTGGTGGAATTTCTCCCAGTGGCTACTCACAACAACAAAGGAGGAAGGATGCCACAATTTAGGACATAATCACGGCAGGCAGAGCTGTCTCCAGCGATGTTCCCCAGTGCCCAGACAGCCTGGAAGAAGAGCAGGGGCTTCAGGACTCAGTCCTCGAAGGGGGTACGTTAAGAGCAACAGTGAAGCAGTCAGTTGGACCTTGCAAATGAATCACTGACTTTAGTCACTTCCATGCTTTTTGTTATTATTGTGATGAACGCAGTGCAAAATAGTCTAGGCAACCTTCTCAACCTAGCAGCCCCGGCACATGGAGGAAGCCTGGACAATGCATCACCTTGCAGTTGTCCCTCCTCAAGATAGCTACTACCCTGTATTTGATTATTTCATCCCATTCTATAACTCAAGCCTTCCAATAACTCTTAGGGGTCTGTGCTTCTTTCTTGCCAACTGGCCCAGCTCTCATGCCATACAGAGTAGCTTGCCTTACCCTAGGTAGTCCGACGCATCTGTGACATCACAGCAGCAGTTGAGCCTGAAGGTTAGACACTGAATCCCAGGGTGATAAGAGAGCCAGTTGGGCCATCATACCTCATAGGGTTGTTGTGAGAATAAACTGAGTGAAGGACCCCTACCCCAATGTATGCTGCCTTCCAGGGGAAAGGCAAGTAATCAGTGTGATGTAATTACACCATAATTAGACTATGGAACATAGAATAACTGAGCTGGAAGGGACCTTGGAGGTCCTCGAGTCCAACCCCCTGCTCAAGCAGGAGAGCCTGCACCATTTCAAACAAATGGCTGTCTAGTCTCTTCTTAAAAGTCTCCAGTGATGGAGCACTAACAACTTCAATATAACTGTAAACCTATAATGTGGTGGGATAGTTGAAGGTGTAAACAAGCAATACAAAGTGGCTAGATCGGTCAAAAACATTTCCAAGCTCCAGACACCTCCCCTACTTAAACAAACAAATTTTAAAAATCTTGTGAGAATCAGTCATTTCAATAATTTTTAAACTGGGAAGCTGCTGCCCTTTTAGGACACCATTGATCGTCTTTTGTGCACAACTTGAGCTGGCTATTCTGCTGCAGAAATGCTTGAGAGAGAATGAACAAAAGCTCAAGAGCTGCCATGAAATCAGTAGCCCAGGTCTGAGTCTCACCTGCTCTTGGACATCTTCAAAATCAGCGCTCAGCAATTCGATGAAGATCGGGACTGCCCCGGCCTCAATCACTATCTTAGTTTGTAGTGAGTTACCTGAGGCGATGTTGGTTAATGCCCACGCAGCTTCAAACTGGAAGAGAAGCAGCCAGTGAACAACCGACAATCAATGAGAAAAAAGTTGTTTGGGGATTGAACCTCAACAGATCAAACCGGAGTTCCTCTGGCTGCCATTTCTAATCTGATTTCAACTGAAAGCTTCCAGAGGACAATTAGTTGTGGAGGAAAGTGTGTACCAGCTCTAGAAGCCATAAAATAGATGCCATTTCACTGACAGTGGGGAGGGAGGAATTCACCTGTGGCAGGATGGCAACAGCCTCCTTGAGTGGCAGTTCTTTCTTCAGTGGTGCTGCTGCACCACAATGAACTTCCCCCACCCGAGCATGCAAATCAAAGGCTGAGGCACAACTGAGGAGGGGCTGCCTGTTTGCCACCACTCGCAAGACCAAAACCAAGGAGAAAAGCTGGAAGGAGGCCAAAAAGACTAGGAAGGCAAGAGAAAGCCACTCCGGAGCTAGATCCCAGTGGAATAACTGGTGTCTGGTTTTCAATCATAAACTGCCCCTCAGGAAGGATCTGAATGGATTGTTATAGTAAAGCATGATTAATAATGTACATGTCTTTGAAGGACTGACAGCCTATACTTATTCAGGAATAAAGAACTAATAACGAAGTATTCCTTTCACACATATCCCTTAACAATCCCTTTTTGGTATTGTTTTGTAGTGAGATGTCTTTGGTCAATTGGATCACAACCACAGAAATAAGCAGGACAAAGACAGAGCAAGCTGTAAAGTTGATTAAGATCTTCAAGAAATAGCTGGCCCTCCTCTTACCTGTAGTGTGCTGTTTTCACTTCTCTTGAGGAACTCAACAAACCTGTCCACAACTCCCTGAGTACTTATCACCTCATCGATTGGAGGATTGGGCTCTAAAATAAAATTTAAAAAGAAACTGAAGGACGGGAATAAAGTTAAATACGTATCAAACAGTGTTGGGTAAGGATTGCCTATTGTTTGGGGGAGCGGGGATGAATATCACAATCCCAGCTTGCACATAACCCTGTGTAGATATGCCATCACCAACTTGACCATATACACATTTAATCTCTCCATCTAACTGCCTGCCCAGTTGAGGTTGTGATTCTGTATAACACAATGTATGTTTGCATTTTATCTGTGTTTAGCCAAGTATGTTCATTGCACACTACTGGACATGTCAAAACTTAACTGCTGAAATTTAAGACATTTAAATAAAATGAGTTGTAATTCAGTACAATTAAAAAATGAGCAGCTCAGATAGTCTGCTCCTGCTGTTAGATTTCATCTGTCCAGTCTACCCACCTATAGAAAATGTTCAGATGTTTTTGGCAAAGTATTTGAACAACAAATATATCTTGAGGACCTAACAGAAACACTAAGTTAATCTCACCAACTCTTCTTAAAAAGAGTTACAGTTGAATGTACCTTTTGAAAGTAGCTTCCTGAATCGCTGGGTAGTTACTAACTGAAGATCAGGATCTTCAGAGAACAACATTTTTACCATCTCCATTGTGATCACACCCTCCTGAAAAGATCAGAAGTTAATCCATCACCAAATTTAATGCCCACCTTTCATAACAATTCTCAAACTTTAGATTTAATACAGGACTATTCCAATTTTCAAGGAGAAGATTCCAGGCTAAGGTTAAGAAGAAAGACATCTAAATCCCAGGAAATTCTTTTAAAAACCTTCTCAGAGATACAATAAAGCGTATTGTACCAAAGCAGATAAAAGGGGTCATCTAACCCAACCTGAGGTCCTGCAGGGGTAGCTGATAAATCCCCTTTTCTAGCTAGAACCTGATTGCCAATGCTCAACATGAAATTGACAGGTTGATTTCCTTAGCTTTTGAGGCAGAAAACATTTACAAAGTGCACGGAAGTTTTTTAGTATACGTAGATGTCTTACTGATATTGAACAAGAGAGAGAAGTAAGAAGGAAACACGGTATATCTCTACTTACACTTCCAATTGTAGAGCTGACCAAGGAATCTACCAGGGGACTGTCAAACATAGCAGCATCTTCATTAATTAGCTCCACATTTCTCCTTTTAAAGAGCTGCAATGGAAAATGAATGAAATCATAGGGGAACAAACCAAACCTTGATTCTGAGTGGTCACCCGCAGATTGCTGAACAGCTGCTCTGCACTTCAGTGTTGTAACCCGACACTGGTAACCATCCTGCCTTTTGATGTTTCAATAAGCAGAACCCCACCTCCTAATTGATGCTTTCCGTTCTGCAGGTAAGGCTTCTATATATGGCTTAATTGAAAAGTAGCTTGACATGATTATTCTTATTCTTTAGTACTATTACAAGGCAGCACCATCATTGAGCCAGGTCGCACAAGGCAAAACTTAGTCTGGCTTGGCACTCACGATCTACAAATGTAGAGGGACGCACAATTTCATACTCCCCTATCATAAATCACTCCAAACTGTTCTCATGGCTTCATTACTCTAAATAGTTCTTACCCCTTCAACTGCCAACTGCATGTAAGTGACATATAAAATTTATATTAAATTCATACACACGCACAGAGTGTTTTAAGAGCAAAGAACCCAGCAGGAAATACTACTGCCTTGTACCAAGTGTCAGCAGATCTTTCCTTTCTTCCTTTTCTGAAGATCAACCAGAATGAGACATAAAATAAAGGTTGCACTTTAAGCCATGAGGTGCCTCTGAACAGCTGCTCAGCCCAGAACTGCTCTCATTAATCTTTTTGTCGTCCACAACGCAACCTTCGGGTTTCACTACCAAGCAGACACATATTTTTCTCGCTACCTGAGCAAGTGGGATGACAGGAATTCCAGTGCCGGGAGTCAGAAACTGACCCTGGTTTATATTCTGAGATAGCAATTTACTGTCAGATCCTGAACAACCTTCAGCCCACTCTACAACACAAGTAGTTCTCCACTCATGACTGGCTGCTTAATGATCTTTTGAAGTTACTATGGACATCCAAAAGGTACTGCTATATAGCCCAGTTCTGGCAGCTGCATCCCCAGTTGTCACAGGACCGCATTTGGTTGCTCAGCAGCCAGCTTGATTGATGGCCATTTGAAGCATCTCACAGTTATGTGACCGAGATTTGTGTTTTTGCAAAAGTGCCCCATAGAGAACAATGGGTTTCACTTAACAACCACAACATTTATTTACCAACTGATGCAAAAAAAGTTGTAAAATTAGATCTGGTCACACAATGTCCCACTTTATGGCCATCACACTTTATGATCGTAATGGGCTGGTTTCATTATCATCATAAGTCGAGGACTATCTGTATTGCACAAAGAACAGTCAGCCTGTTACAGCTGTTCATAATTTAAAGACTATTTAAATAATTTCACTGGACTTGTTTGCATTTTTATTGCTTTCCTAACCTCATTTTATAACACCAAAACCATAAATAATCTTAGCTTAATTTTATTATTATTAGCAGAAAAGATTTTCTAATTGTCTTCTCCCATTTCCTGTTACACCACCAGAAGTGAAATGGTATAGGACACTTGCTTGAGCAGGGGGTTGGACTAGAAGACCTCAATGTCAAAACTGTTCCTGTTATTATCTGTTTTGCTGTTCTTCAAAGTATTGACTGCCAAGTATCAGCCAAAAATGACAAGCAGAAACAATACTTCTACTTCACTCCACTTTTGATTGAGTGGGCAATCAAAAAGAGGAAGCAGGGATCCCTTACCTGTTGCTCCCGTTTCTGTTTGCGTAGCTGGATCCCCTCCTCTTCTCTCCTCCGGCGCATCTCCTCTGGGTTCAAAGCTTTGTTTTTGTAACTTTTCATTCTGTAATTGTTCTCTTTTGCTGGGCTCGCCATGGTTTCTGCAGGCCAGGGGGGAAAAAAACCAGACACCATCTTTTTTGCATTATCAATAGAAAATAGGCTACTCGCACATGCCCTGAGGCTGAAGGACACCAAAGGATGCTATCCTCTGGAGGTCTGTTCAGATTCTGCAATGAGTCACTCCACTGCATGGATCTGAAAAAATCCTTGGCCTTTACCTATAGTGGCACACCTTAAAACCCTTCAACATTTTTCAATTTTACAGGGCCTTTTTAATTAATCTGTACAAATGCAATTAGATAAAACTTGGCTCAATAGCAGTAACTGCGAGAGGGATTTTGGTGTGTTAGTGGACAATCACTTAAATATGAGCCAGCAGTGTTCAGCAGCCATCAAAAAAGCCGAGGCAATCCCAGGCTGCATCAACAGTGGGATAGAATCAAGATCACGTGAAGTGTTATTATCGCTTTATAAGGCCTTGGTAAGGCCACAGTTGGAATACTGCATCCAGTTTTAGTCGCCACAATATAAAAAAGATGTTGAGTGTCTGGAAAGAGTGCAAAGAGCAACTAAGATGCTGAAGGGCCTGGAGGCTAAAACAGATAAAGAATCATTGCAGGAACTGAGCGTATGTCTCTCTAGTCTAGTGAAAAGAGGACTAGGGGTGACAGAATAGCAGTCTTCCAATATTTGAGGGGCTGAGGTTGCCTGGACCTATTATGCCATTAGGGGCTTTAAAGGTCAGAAGCAACAGCCGGAACTGCCCCTGGAAGCAGACCGGGAGCCAGTGCGGTTCATGGAGCAGAGCTGTGAGATGGCCTTCCTAGGGGCCCCAAAGACTGTGCTCACTGCCGCCCTTTGCACTGGCTGAAGCTTCCCAATGGACTTCAAGGGTTGCCCCGCGTAGAGCCCATTGGAGCAGTCCAGATGAGATGACTGGGGCTTGAGTAACTGAGTGCAGGGAGTCCTGACGCAGGAAAGGTCGCAGCTGGCGCACAAACCACAGCTGTGCAAAAGCCTCCTGGCTATGCCTGACAGCTGCTCTTCGAGCAGAAGACACGGGTCCAGGAGAACCCCTAGGTTGCAAACTGGGTCTGAAATGGGGGGGACCTGTCCTGAACTAAGGATGACAGACATTCAGATCCTGAGGCTCCATGCACCCAAAGACACTTAGTCTTGCCGGGATCCAGTCTAAGTCTGTCATCCCCCATCCAAGCCCCCACAGCCTCCGAGTACTGCAAAAGAGTTCCCACTGCATCACTCACTTCACCCGGACGGAGACATAGAGCTGGGTATATTATCAGCGTATCAAATGATCTGACTCAAAGGCTTCAGATAGATGTTAAAGAGGAGAGAGTTCTATGCCCTGAGGGACCCTGCAAGGATCTTTCACTCCCTATCAATACTGATTGGGAACAGCCTCAGAGGAAGGAGGTGAACCAGAGAAAGACTGTGCCTCTCAGGCCCCCTCTCTTGTGTTCCATAGTTAGGAAACCATGGTCAATGGTATCAAAGGCCACTGATGGATCAAGGAGAGTGAGAATGGTGGCTCTGCCCCCATCCTGCTCCCACCAGACATCGTCCAGGAGTGCTATTAAGGCTCCGTCCCACAGTCAGTCCCGAATCCTGACTGAAAGCGGTCCAGGGAATCCGTTTCATCCAGGAGCCCCTGGAGCTGCTGAGCAACCACCTTTTCAAGCACCTTCACCAAAAAGGAAAGATGGTAGACTGGACCAAAGTTGTCCAGGCAGGTGGGGTTGAGTGATGGTTTTTAAGGAGAGATCAAACCGGGGCCTCCTTAAAAGATCCCAGGAATGGCTCCTCTTAAACAGCATGAACCATCTGCTGCTCAGTGTCCTGGAGGCTTTTATCAGCCAAGAGGGCAAGGGTCTGATTGACAAGTGGTTGCAGAGGACTCTGTCCACTGCCTTATAAATACCAAATACAAATATCAATACCAATTGGACAATGGCAAAAGGGGATCATATCTATCATTTCCATCTCCTGCCTACAGGCACTATAGAGACAACTGTTATGACACAAAATGCTAGACTTTGTTGGGCATTGGCTTGATGTAAGATTTATCTGTTCTTATAGGATATCAGTCACAAATTACTACACTGACAAGCAACTCGGTGATTTGCAAATCGTCATAATTCACTACTATCACTCCAAAGCACAATTTGCTTTCCAAAGGAGTATCAATGGGCCCTCCAAATGCTCCTGAGAGCCCACTGGGAGGTAGGCTTTGCTCAGCAATATTTGGAGGCCATCGATTTCCTATTTTAGAAGCTTGGTTCCCGCTGGGAATGTCTAAAAGGTGCCCCAAAATGCGCATTGGTAAACACTAATCAAATTTCAGGGGATACCATATTTAAGAAACTGTCAAGAAAAACTGAAAAACTTCAAAATTAAACAGAAAACCGGGGGAAAAAAGCACGCATAAGGCACAGAGAGTCAACACCTGTTTATCTGATGCTAGACTTTCAATAACTTTCAGCCGGTCTTTAATCTGGAGCTTTTTTTGATCTCTCGTGATCTGTCCTGATTAATGATGTCATAACAAAGATACACAATAATGGCACCGCTTTTCCATGGCAACAAGGTATGTCACAAGTGGTGATTTGTGACTTCATTGCAAAGCCGGACTACAGAACACAACGAAATGAACTAGGAATAAATAATCAGATAAATAAATGTGGGTTTACTTGGGATAACTGCAAAACTAATCCTGGTAAATTGTCATCAAAATGAATTGGCAAAGGTCAATCTATATATATAAAAGCGAAAGCCACTCACACATTAATCACGAAATCTCCAGAACCATAAAGCCTACAAGCTTGAAATTTGCCACGTATGTTCCTCGTGGCTTCTAGGTGCTCACTAAGAAAGGATTTTTCGAAATGACCATCAGAGCATTAGTATTCCCTATATTATTATAACACGCTCTGATGCCAATTAGTTAGATGTTCTACTCCCCCTCCCGACTTGAAAATAACTCTGGAGAGAATGGGATAGCATAGGACAGGCTTCTGTGGGGCCAGCCTGATGGAGAGAAGGGGCTAGAAGCCTGAGGGAGAGAAGGGGAGAGGAGAGGATCTATGGGGCAAGCCTAAGGGAGAGAAGGGATAGGAGAGGACAGGAGAGGCTTCTTTGGGCCAGCCTGAGGGAGAGAAGGGGAGAGGAAAGGATGCATGGGGCCACCCTAAAGGGAGAGAAGGGGAGAGGAGAGGACAGGAGAGGCTTCTGTGGGGCCAGCCTGAAGGAGAGAAGGGGGGAGGATAGGATAGGACAGGACAGGAGAGGCTTCTGTGGGGCCAGCCTGAGGGAGAGAAGGGGCTAGAAAGTCTGAGGGAGAGAAGGGGAGAGGAGAGGACAGGAGAGGCTTCTGTGGGGCCAGCCTGAGGGAGAGAAGGGGAGAGGAGGATCTATGGGGCCAGCCTGAGTTAGAGAAGGTAGGATAAGAGGCGCTTCTGTGGAGCCAGCCTGAGGGAGAGAAGGGGAGAGATCTATGGGGCCAGCCTGAGGGAGAGATCTATGGGGCCTTTTTGTCTTTCAATTTGTCAGAGATCTTTGTGCAGCCATCTTGGATTTCTTGTTTTTGTTTCTCAGTGGTATTGGGCTTTTATGATCATATTTTTCAGTTTCCCAAGATTCTTGAGTTTATATAATTTATATAATTTCTTTTTGGAGAACATTAATTCATTTAGAACAAAGCATCCAAAATTCCGCAGAGGGACTTCAGGAGTGTCAGGGACTGTCTGCTAAACTCGGGAAGCTCCCTAGGGCTTATCCCCAATGCAGGGGGGAGGAAAACAGCCTGCCCTTTCTCTCATCACCTTTTTAGCCTCTCTGGTGTCCAGTCACGGCTGCCTCGTTCCCTCCTGCCTGCCCACCCAACTCACAAAAGCTAGCTAGACCCAGACATTCGACAGCACAAGCTGGCTTCTGTGCGAGAGGATGGAGAAGGATTCGGAGATTGGGGAAGTCATCACCAGTTTAAGAAATGTGCCATCCTTTTGTCGCCCAGTTGCATGAATCCAGGCAAAAGTCTGACGGTGCAGCCTGGAAGAGCCTCTCTGCCAGCCAATCTGGCAAACAGCAGAAGCAACAATCGCATGGTCACAGTGACAGCACAACGTTACAAATCTGGTGGTATGATGCTCTCCAAGACTGTTCCAGCTTCTTTGTTACAAAATATAGGCGACAATTTAAAAATATGCTGATGATATTCATCAACTGTGTCACACAGAGAAGTCACAGCCAGATCCAAGGGAACCCAGTCCCTATGTATTTTAACCGGCATTTCTTTACAACTAGATGGGGTTAATTTGATGGCAGCCAACCCTAGTCTCAAAGCTCGACCTACCCACCCAGACAGCCAGCCAAAATCCAGGTCTTACAGAATTCTTCCCAGGTGGTTGCACAAGTAGGAGCAGTAGTAGTAGTAGATCTGTGAGTTGTCTGGTTTGTCTTTACTGGGATCAATTGCTAAGACTACTCTCCATTATTTTACTCCATTATTTTGCTATACTAATGTTAGTGTGTACATTATTGTTTAGTGTGTACATTAACAGCCAACAGTTTATTTTTCACCAAAAAATGGTAAAATGTATGTAGATAAAGATTAACTATTCCATAATTAATCTTTCTCATAAGCCAATTTACATAGAAGAAAGAAATGATGTGTTTCTGTTATTTCTCAGCCTTGGCACTGTCAAAAACACTGTAAAATAAACAATTCTTTTATCTTACACTTGTAAGATAGAGCAAATCCAATACTTCACTCTGAACTTAAATTCTCTCTGAATGTATGATATTACTCATGCTACATTACAAAACCATATATCATAAATACATAAATTCTTAAATACCGTTCATTATTGTAAACATCTTAAGCAATACTAAATATGTATTCAGCAATTCTGGCTCAGAATAAACAAATGATATATTAGTTTATTCTATGCACACATTTGTTTCATCTCATTCTGGGGGTCACCAAACCAGAGCAATTCAATTATTCATTCATCAACACTGGATGCAAATTAGGAGTTATTTACAAGGTAAAAATATTAAGAAAAAATCATTTAAGACTCTAGCTAGTTAAGAAAGAAGCTAAAATATCTATTTTGCAAATAAAGTTGCTCTCTGAAGGAGATGGGTGGTTCAAAAATGTGAAAAATAAAAACTTGAGTGCTACAAGTCAACATGGCTCATTACATTCTACAAGAAAGTATAACAATAAAAATCTGGTAACAATTTTAGCAGATCAAAATAAGAGAAAAAACTCCTGCCATGACAATAAATTAAAAAACAAAGGCCATTCAGTTCCAGTTGGCATCCAATGGCCATCCAGAAGAGCAGTCTCTTCTGCCCCCTTGCCCAAGGCCATCATGGAGAACAGCCAATTTTTTTCACCAGCATTCTTCATTTTATTTTCTACGTGGAAATAACATATTCTGGCATCTGGAAAATGCCACACAACCCCTAATGTATTCTGGGGAAATATAGACTTTATATAGGATCAGTGGTTTCCTGTTTATTTTTTTTTATGAAAGGATTTTTTTTTAATAAAATCAGATGAAGAAAGATGCCAAGGCAGATGGCACTTTAATGCCTATGAGTAAGGTACAGAAAATCAAAGCATTAACCAAATCATGTTCTGGCTATTCTTATTCTTCAACTCTTATTTGCAGAAACAGTTTAATAAAAGAGAGTATTTGTAGGTCAGGTTTGAAATGGGAGGTCCTTGATGTTCTTTGAGCTTGGCTTTTTTCTTGCAGATGTTTCATTACCCAAACTAGGTAACATTATCAGTGCTGTTATCTAGTTTGGATAATGAAACTTCTGCAAGAAAACAACCAAGCTCAGAGAATACCAAGGACCACCCCCTCCCCCCAGAAATAGTTCAGCAGAATTGATCAAGCAGTGTGTGTTAACATGCATGTTAACAGTAGTGGATTAGGGTGATATCTATAGGAAGTCACTTCCATGAACCTTTTATTCAAATCAAAACACCTCACGTGGATAGAGAAGAAGCCACAATCTACAGAATGGTTTTTCAACTAATCATAACCCGCTCAACCCACCCATTAAAGCATCCCCTTTAACTGGTTTGTACATGTCCAGATACAGGTAGTCCCTGACTTACAACCACAATCGAGCACATTTATGTTAAGTGAGAATTTGTTAAGTGAATTTTGCCCATTTCATGACATTTCTTGCCACTGCTGTTAAGTGAAACACTGCAGTTGATAAGTTACTAACCTGGCTGTTAAGTGAATCTGGCTCCCCATCGACTTTGCTTGTCAAAAGGTTGCAAGAAGTGATCCCATGACCCTGGGAGATTGCAACAGTCTTAAGTATGAACCAGTTGCCAATTCATGTGATCTGAATTTTGTTCACATGATCAATGAGATGCTGCAAAGGTTTTAACTGTGAAAAACAGTCATAAGTCAATTCTTTCAGTGATGTTGTAACTTTTAATGGTCATTAAATGAACTGTTGTAAGTCAAGGACTTTCTGTATATAACTGCATAATCTTGCTTTTGCAATTGCACCCCCAAATATCTTTAATATAAAATTCAAATAACCCTGTACCATCCACAATTCAAAATTTATTAACACAGCTGCCTGCAATTTCTGCAGATTCGAATCTTACCAGGCTCAAGGTTGACTCAGCCTTCCATCCTTTCTAAGGTAGGTTAAATGAGGACCCAGTTTGTGGGGGCAATAAGCTGACTTTGTATAAATATACAAAAGTATGAAGGCTATTGCTTAGCGCATTGTAAGCCGCCCTGAGTCTCCGGAGAAGGGCGGCATATAAATCAAATTAAAAAAAAAAAAAAAAAAAGATATTCCTGAATGGAAAGATTTCAAGAAAACAAGAGAATATTTCAAGTATTCTTCTTTCATGTAAACTTTATTTCATAATTATAACTGATAAATGCAGGATACTAAGAATTTAAGTAGATTCTTAAATTACTGAGTATTTTGTAAGTTTACTAGTAAGAAACTGGTTTTAAAACCTTCAGTTTTACAACATAAAGAATGGTACCAACTCTGGATGCAATGCCCATTTAGTTCCTTGTTATTAAGGGATATTTTTTAGGAAACTGGAAAAACCACATAGCACTTTTTAATAATCCATTTTAAATTAGCTTTCTTTTCCATTTCTGCCACGACATATAAAATGGCATTACACAATAAAGAGAAGAAACATAAAAAATTAATCCAGCTGAATAAAAGGAATGGAGCCAGCGATCTCAGTATGCAGAGGCAATCAAGCTTTTACAGGTAGTTATCGACTTAGAACCACAATTGAAATCTTCCACTGCTAAGAAAGACAATTATGTGAATTCTGCCCTATTTTACAATCTTTCTTGCCGCAGTTAAGTGAATCACTGCAGTTTTTAAATTAGTAACATGGTTGTTAAGTGAATCTGGCTTCCTTATTGACTTTGCTTGTCAGAAGGTCACAAAAGGCGATCACATGACCCCATGATACTGCAACCGACATTAATATGAGACAGTTGCCAAATGTCTGAATTTTGATCACGTGACCACAGGGATGCTGCAACAGTCGTAAGTGTGAAAACAGTCATAAGTCATTTTTTCAGTGCCATTGTAGCTTTGAATGGTCACTAAACAAGTGGTTGTAAGTTGAGGACTACCTGAAAGAAAGGACAGAGATAATCATAGAATTTATTTGCCCCCTGGTTGTGTTTCATTTCCTCAATTTCTACTACCCTGTTACTCTATGCCAAGAACTTTTATAAATTATCCATCGTGAGGAAAAAGCTCAAGAGGGGACCTACTCTCTGATTCTGAGATTGCCGTGAAGGATAATACTCACTCGAACTACCCAAATAAATTACTGAGGGCTTCACCGCCTTGTGCACATTTACCATAATTCCTTACACAAATCAGACCCCTTTTCTGTAACCTTGTAATGCCTACTTTGTCAGATGACTGGTTTTTTTAAAAGTCTCAGGTGGAAGCCCTTCCTAAGAGGAATACTGGCATGCAGAGGTAGCCTATTTGTTTCCTAAAATTACTGAGAACAGCATATAGCTGTGCCACGCCTAAGAACTTCCCCTGTAGCATCACTGCCCATTGGTGTAAATGTACCCTAAACTGACTTAAAGACTACAGAAATCAATAGTGATTGCCTCTGTTATATACAGCCAGGTCCAGAAATATTGGGACATCGACACAATTCTAACATCTTTGGCGCTATACACCACTACAATGGAGTTGGAATGAAACAAACACAATGTGCTTTAACTGCAGACTGTCAGCCTTAATTTGAGGGTATGTACATCCAACTCAGGTGAACGGTGTAGGACTTACAGCAGTTTGCATATGTGCCTCCCACTTGTTAAGGGGCCAAAGGTAATGGGACAATTGGCTTCTCAGCTGTTCCATGGCCAGGTGTGTGATATTCCCTCATTACCCCAATTACAATGTGCAGATAAAAGGCCCAGAGTTCATTTCAAGTGTGCTATTTGCATTTGGAATCTGTTGCTGTCAACTCTCAAGATGAGAGCCAAAGAGCTGTCACTATCAGTGAAGCAAGCCATCATTAGGCTGAAGAAACAAAACAAACCCATCAGAGAGATAGCAAGAATATTTGGCATGGCCAAAACTGTTTGGAACATTCTCAAAAAGAAGGAATGCACCGGTGAGCTCAGCAACACCAAAAGACCCAGGAGATCATGGAAAACAACTCTGATGGATGACCGAAGAATTCTTTTCCTGGTGAAGAAAACACCCCTCACGACAGTTGGCCAGATCAAGAACACTCTCTAGGAGGTAAGTGTATGTGTGTCAAAGTCAACAATCAAGAGAAAACTTCACAAGAGTGAATACAAAGGGCTCACCATAAAATGTAAACCATTGGTGAGCCTCAAAAACAGGAAGGCCAGATTAGAGTTTGCCAAACAACAACTAACAAAGCCTTCACAGTTCTGGAACAAGATCCTATGGACAGATGAGACCAAGATCAACTTGTACCAGAGTGATGGGAAGAGAAGAGTATGGAAAAGGAAAGGAACTGTTCATGATCCTAAGCATATCACCTCATCAGTGGCACAGTGGTGGTAGTGTCATGGCGTGGGCATGTATGGCTGCCAATGAAACCGGTTCTCTTGTATTTATTGATGATGTGACTGCTGACAAAAGCAGCAGGATGAATTCTAAAGTGTTTCGGGCAATATTATCTGCTCACATTCAGCCAAATGCTGTACTACTCATTGGACGGCGCTTCACATTGCAGATGGACAATGACCCAAAGCATACTGCAAAAGCAACCAAAGAGTTTTTGAAGGGACAGAAGTGGAATATTATGCAATGGCCAAGTCAATCACCTGAGGCCTGGCAGAGCATCACCAGGGATGAAACCCAGCGTCTGGCGATGTCTATGCATTCCAGACTTCAGGCCGTGATTGACTGCAAAGGATTTGCAACCAAGTATTAAGAAGGGAAAGTTTGATTTATGATTATTATTCTGTCCCATTACTTTTGGTCCCTTAACAAGTGGGAGGCACATATGCAAACTGCTCTAAGTCCTACACCATTCACCTGAGTTGGATGTACATACCCTCAAATTAAAGCTGACAGGCTGCAGTTAAAGCACATTGTGTTTGTTTCATTCCAACTCCATTGTGGTGGTGTATAGAGCCAAAGATGTTAGAATTGTGTCGATGTCCCAATATTTCTGGACCTGACTGTATTTCACAGGCTGGTAAATGGTTATTATCCAGTCATCTCTGCAAACTTAAAACCTCCTATCAGGAAACCTGCTAACTGAATGTGCTAGGGCAGTATACCACAAATAAATCAATAATAATAAATGAAATTGGTGAGATTCTGATTTTTGAGGCATAAAAAAGCAACATGCCCTTTCATATCCCCTCTCTGACACAGACCTATAGGCTCCCAACAAGTCACAACTTTCAGCACTTCTGCAACACTCCTAAGCAGATTCAAAGACTGAGCCTTGTACGCAAAAGCTGCATCCTCCCCAAGTAACCCCCCCCCCCCCAACAAACAAGGGCACTAGCAAGAAAATAACTCACCCGATCACCATATTTTATGGTGTTTGTGTCCTCATACAAAAATTCTTGTATATGCTACATATTTGCATACTATGCAGAGCAAATTTTTGTTATAAAAATTTATACGCTATATATGGTCTATACTCTAGACCATCTCTTTCCTCTAAATTCAAAGCATACTTAAAAAAAAATAACATGCAACCACTTTTGGTTGCTTTCAATTATCCGATCTTCAATCAGTCTTTATCCCAGTCCACTATTCCATCTTGTTTGAAGGCTTCTATCATTGTTCCGCTGCCAAAGAAGTTCCCCAATGTAACCTCAATGATTACAGACCAATGGCACTCACTCCTATCATCATAAAGTGCTTTGGGAAATTGGTCTGCTGGCACATAATTTCTGATCTTCCGCAATGATTAAATACCAGTTTGCATACAGAAGAAATAGATCTACATCTATTAGAGGATGCTACAGCCATCACTCTTCACACTGCTCTGACTCATTTGGAACAGGGGGGATGGGCTATGTGAAGATGCTTTTTGTAGATTTTAGCTCTGCATCTAACACAATACTTCCACATAGACTAGTGTCTAAACTTATGGATCTTGGACTTTCTTATTCAATCTGCCTTTGGATTATGGATTTCCTGTCTGGCCACTCTCAGAGGGTCAGATTAGATAATCACAACTCTTCAGCCCTTATTCTTAACACTGGTACACTACAGGGTTGCATGTTGAGTCCCTTACTCTATACTCTTTATGTGCATGACTGCATTCCCACTCACGCTAGTAATACTATTACTAAATTTGCAGATGATACAACAGTGGTGGGATTCATCTCTGGGGGGTGGGATGAGTCTGCCTATCAAGATGAGGTGGACCGTAGCTTTTGTGGTGTGGCGACAATAAGTTAGTCCTTATCAATAAGACCAAGGAGCTTATAGTGGACTATAGAAGGAATAGATCAGACATCCAGCCCTTACTTATCAATGGAGACAGAGTGGAGCAAGTGTCCAGTTTTAAGTTTCTGGGTGTTATCATAAAAGAAGACCTGACCCACATTGCTCACATTGCAGCACTGGTCAAAAGGGTCCAGCAGAGATTATACTACCTGAGACTTCTCAGGAAACAACAACTGAATAAAAAACTGCCAGTGACCTTCTACTGCTGCACCATAGAGAGTATTTTAACTTACTGCATCTGTGTATGGTTTGCCAATACAAATCATACTTGTAGATAGGACAGCACTCCAGACGGTTAACATTGGCTGCCCTCTCCTCTCCTTGGAAGAGCTTTATGGCTCCTGCTGCCTTAAGAAAGTTCAAAAGATTCTTAAAGATCTGTCACATCCGGGGCACCCTTTTTTTTTTTTTTTGAACTTTTACCATCTGGCAGATGGTACAGGATAATAAAAACAAAGACAAATAGACTGAAAAACAGCTTCTATACTAAGGCAGTAATTATATTGAATTCTAATGTATAGTGCAATATTAATGCAATATCGGGTTTTCAATTCAATTGTATAGAATGTGAAGGATGTGTGTTTGTGTTTTATTTTTATAGTTATAATGTACAGTGAAGATGGCATTTAATTTCGTTGTACGAGGTGCAATGACAATAAAATAAAACTTATCTTGTAACTATAGTTCAGGGGTTCTTACCAGATGACGGGAACTACAATTCCCACAATCCCACGTTTAAGTGAACTACGGAAAGCCGGAGGGCAACAACTATTGTTTCTTCTCGTGAACGCATCAGCCTAATGGCGCAAACGCTTGCGAGGAAAGGCAGCTCGGCAGCCAAAGGTCCGGGCAGTTGAGGGCCCCCTCGCGCCACCGTCCAGGCCGAAACCCCTTTCGCCACAACGCGCCTCGAGGGCCCACCCGGGAGCGCCTCTGGCTTTCCCAAATGGGGAAAGGAGCCCCTGGGAGGAAGCGGGCACCGCGGGGGCAGGGATGACGGGCGTGGGGCGGCCTCGGCCACTCTTAGGCTCCCGGTCGCTTCGGAGCCTGGGCCCGGCTTCCCCTGCCGAGGGTGGGAGCGAAGGCTCTGCTGGGCGGAAACCGCAGCGGAGGGAAAGCGGGGAAGGGGCGAGAGAAAGAAGCGGCAAAGCGGCTTCTTCGCTTCCATTCCTCCCCAGCGTCCACGCTCATCTGCGGCTACTCGGCCTCCCGCGCACCGGAGTCGGACGCCCCGCGCCAAAGGCTGCGCCCTCCCCGCCTAGGGGGGTCCGAGCGTCGCTCTTCGCCCCGGAGGCCCAGCGCTCCGCCGGGGACCGCAGTGCGCGGCGGGACGAGGGGCGGCCTGGATCTCGTCGGCGCCTCCGGACGCCCCGCCGGCCACGCCCCTCCGCCTGGAGCCGCCGCCAGACGCTGGGCGCCCGGGAGTGGGCCCCGACCTCACGCGCGCGCGGGGGGGGGGGGGAGAGAGAGAGAGAGAGACTCCGCCGGCGGCCTCACCCATGTCCGCCGCTCCGTCCCGTCCCTCCTTCGCCGACAATATGGCGGACAGGCCAATGGGCCGAGCAGACGGGCCGGCGGGGCGGGGGAGAAAGGCGGAGCTTAATAGGAGCGACGGCGGCCGAAGCGGGACAGCACACGCGCCGAAGCTCCACCCCCCGTAACGCTGCCTCCCTGGGATCGCTGCGGCTCGGGGCTCGCGGGCGCCTCCCAGCGGCCGGGCGTGGGCCGCAGGCAAAGCGCTGGTGGGGAAGGGACCCCCACGCGACCCCCGCCCTCGGCCTGCGGGGACCCGCCGATCGGCTGACGGGGCATCATCTTGGGCGCGTCTGCAGCATCGCAGCCCAACTGCGCGCACCGGGAACACGCCCCCCCCCCGGCTGCTGTCCTGCTAGGCCGCCCCCCGCGAGCCCCCCAAGTCTCGGGGCCTCCGCGCTCTTGGGATGCCCAAAGGGGCGGGGGCAGCTTTGCACCCCCGTCCAAAGCCCCACATCCAGGACCCTCTGGGGGAGAAGAGCAAGAGGGAGACTCTTCTCCTAACTTTTCCCCCGGGAAAAGAAATTATTTTTAATTTAAATTCATTTTATTTCTATTTTGCAATGTTTTTATCGAATTTAGAAACGGCCCATCTCCCTCACAGAAGAACTCTGGGCATAAAACTGTATACAATATAAAAAATTGAAATAGAGGCAAGGATAGTTAAAATTTGACATTAAAAATAATTAAAATGCTGGGGGAGGGCCTTAAAGACTCTAACCAAGCCCATGGCTGAGCCCCCAACAAGATGGGCGGGGGGGGGGGGGGGGGGGCTCAAGATATTTTCAAAGGCCCAGGAGAGGGGACCCTCCTCGTCTCTGAGGGAGAATGTCAGTACAGGAGAATTATTAATAGCAATTGATTAGCTAAGCAAGCTATTTACTACTGTGTTTCCCCAAAAATAAAACCCTGTCTTATATTTTTTTGAACCCCGAAATAAGGGCCTGGCCTTATTATCGGGGGAGGGGGATCTTATTATTTTGGAGGTGCAGGAGGCAGCGAGCGTGGCCACCTTGTGGCTACTGTTATGTTGCTACAGCAGTGCAACACAGCCGCTTGTCGGCTGTTCGCTGGGGCAACCAAAGGTGGGAATCTCCCCAGCCTTCTTGGAGTCTGCCTGCCTCCCATCCCTCCATCCATCCATGCCCCCGCCTGCAAACTCCCGCCCCGCTCCTGCCTCTCCACCAGGCAACCCCCAGCCGCCCCAGACATTCAAAGCCCACACCTGCCCGGCTCCCTTTTCCACAGTCCCCGGCTCTTTATCGAGGACGGTGGCAGGTGGGGCAGGGAAGAAGCGAGACGCGTGGAGCGAGACGGGGCTCACTCCTCTTGCCGTCTCTTCTCCCCCCTCACCAGGGAGACACGAGATGTATGTCTTACCTGCCTTCCAGCTCCATCGTCTTGCCATTGTGTGGCAGGAAGCACGTTGCACAGTAAAAAAAAACTTCTCACGAGTTCAATCAAATTCTCGAACTCGCAAGGAGGTTTTTTTTACCATACAACGTGCTTCCTTCCACACAATGGCGAGACACGCGACAGAGCTAGAAGGCAGGTAAGATGGCTCCATGTACCCCAATGGCAACAACAGTCTGGCTGCTTCTCTTCCCCATCTCTTTACCGAGGGGGGTGGCAGGTGGGCCGGGGGGAGAAGCAAGACCCATGGAGCGAAATGAGGCTCACTCCTCTTGCCGTCTCTTCTCCCCCCCCCCGACCTCACCGGGCATGGCAGGGCTTTCTGCCCCTGCCCAAATTGGATGCAATTTGGGGGTGGCAGGTGGGGAGGGGTGCGGCCGGAGAGATGCAAGACGCATGAAGTGACCTCCCGTAAAGGAAGGCATGGAAATCCATACACCTAGGACATCAGAAGAAGCCTTGCGAGGAGACATTTTCGGGACATGTTGTATTTTCGGGGAAACACGGTATATATTTTTAAAAATCTGGCCTTTTTTAAAGGTTTTTTTTTTTCTCAGACAAATGTTCATGTGACTACAATTAAAATATACAATGTGATAAGCCAAGATCACCAAACAGAGACTGTCATACTTTGGTCATGTCATGAGAGTTGACTCGCTCGAAAAGTCAGTCTTGCTGGGAGTGATCAGTGGCAAAAGGAGAAGGGGCCGTTCTCGCACCCGCTGGCTGGACACTATAAAGGATGACATGGCGGATCTGAAGGAGGCGGTGTAAGACAGAGGGGCCTGGAGACTGCTGACCCATAGAGTGGCCGAGGGTTGGCCACGACTGATGACAATGCCACCTGGCAGCATTCAAGTTCTCAGGAGAAGTTCTGGAGGAGAAGCCGGCCTCTTTGATTCAAAAGCCACCCTCCAAAATCCACTGGAGGCCAAGAGAGGGAAGAGAGAGGAAGAGAGTGGAACTGCCCCGTCTTTCACTTTTGGAAACCAATTGGATCCCCACAGACACTCACTTCAATTCCCACAATCGCAGACCTGGGAATCAAGAGGAAGAAAGAGAAGCTATGCAGTTCTGTCTTCTGAGAGGGACAGAGGAAGAACGGCCAAGAAGCAGATTCTATTACTGGGACTGGTTGGTTCACATTATCCAGTGGGTGGGCCAGCCCCGTTATGGATGGACTGGGGAAACTGGCTAATCTCTACAAGGAAAAACTCTGCACACACTGATGGATGCTTCCTTTTGTGATTCCCTGAGGCCAGGCCTTGAGCTTCCCACCTCTGTTGAAGCCTCAACTCTGCTCCCTCTGGTGTCAGTGGGGAATTGGCTCTGCAGATTTCCAGGAAGGACAGTCACAGAAACATTTTAAGGTGTCCTTTTATTAAAATGTGCGTCACTGTTCTGTGTGGCTTGCTTCACTGTTGTCTGGCTGTCAGTGTGTTTTCTGGGACAGCCGCTGTGGCCTCAGCACTTGAGCCGACCTGGGGGAGTCTTCAGGTAGTTCGTGGCCTGTGGCTCCCACCCATGGCAATGTAGACATCAATGGGGACGTTGGGCAAGGTCAGGCAGTGGCACCCTGGACATCTTCGCAGCTGCCTGCCCGGGAAAGAAAGGGAGGGAGAACCATTAGGTTTGTTAGAAAGTGCAGATGCACAACTGCCCAAGGCAGCAAAATTGGTCCCAGAACGTCCTCCTTTAAAAAAAAAAAAAAGGGGGGGGGGGGGGTTTTTTTGGGAATAAATTGTTTTCTAAACTCACCCGCCTGAGCTTTCCTAATGTGGTAGGGACATCATTTGTTCCAGTTCTCCCTCTGGCTGGAGGGTCAGTGCAAAGCGACAGATCTGATCCATTTGGCATTCACAAAGAGGGACACCCAGAGCTGTAAGTGGGCCCAAGTCCCACTTTTTTAATGGCTTCTTGCCTTACTAAGGTTCACTGGCAACTTGCTGACTTTCAGCTGTAAATAATTTGAAAGGGGAAAGGGGCAAAAGCACCCCCAAAGAACATACCCCAAATCCATCCCTCTAGCTCGGTGTTTCTCAACCTTGGCTGCTTTTAAGATGTGTGGACTTCAATTCCCAGAATTCCCCAGCCAGCAAGGGTTGAATTCCACACGTCTTAAAAGTGGCCAAGAGTGAGACACACTGCTCTAGTGCCACCACTGCAGGTGACTCAATATGATCTCTGAAAACTCTACAAAATTAAAAATGCAAGGAGGAAATAGCCTCACTAAGGGAAAGTTCTATGGCACATACCTTGCTGAAATAAAGTGAAGATGTGCAAGAGTAGCCATGAAGGGAGGGAAGAAAAAATTTGTTCCTGAATTAAAGTGCTTTCTCATAAAATATTTCCTACTGCTATTCAAAAATATTCATAAAGGCTGCATGGAACACACTTTGACTGTGCTGCCTGAGAGCCTGAATTCCTCCGCAGTGCCACCACCTAATCCAGGGGAGAAAATCTGGTTAACCACAGGGTGCCTAAGGCCCACCTTACAATGTTTGAAAAGATGGGAAACTCAGGTGCTGCAAAGCAAAGGACCAATTCAACATAATTTCTACTCATGCTGCTAGATGCCTGGGCATATATATTTCCTAAGAAGGCTTGCCCACCAACCCAGGGGAAAAAAAGAAAAATTGAGGTAGTAGAAGGGGAGAAGCCTCTGATGGAACCATTTTAGCAGTTTGCCTATTCTGCTCGATAGATCTTTGGGACCAACCACATCAGCAGGACAAAGAATCTCCACAGGTCATTGCCAGAGTGGTTCTAATGCAAACTGCCCCTTGGCTACTTGAGAACCATGCCACGGCATTGTTGTGAAAAGATGGAACTTGTCCTGTGAGGTCACCATGGGCATTGGTCACTTGGGCTTCCTTGGGGTTAGGGATGGCTGCCAATGCACCTCTCTCCATCCCCACAGCCCTGCCAATCATTATGTGAGCATTTCCACCTCGTGCCTCTGCCCCAGTTTGCTGCTTTTCCTGCTTCAATCCGACAAGCCCCTAAATTCTTTCCAATAAGCTACTACTATACAACTAATGATACAAACCTAGTTTCTTTAGACTATTTCTAGGGAAATAGCCCCTTTCTAAAATACATTTTAAAACTCTCCCAACAAATAATCTTTTCCCCCCCATAAATTGTAACTTAATTTTTTTGTTCCACATGTCCCATCTAGAGGCACTGGGACCAGAATTTCCATGGCTAAGCAAGGCAGTTGTGAAGTGAGCTACAACTACTT